ATCTCAGAAATATGTATATTTGTATCTATGTGTTTAATAGGTCAGGGTTGTGGTTCGAACCCCAGTCACGACACAAATAAAATAAACTAAATAATTGAAGCAATTGGTTTTTTTTTTTTTTTTTTAAATAAGTATTAATTATATGTACGCTCTTATCCATATTTATTCTATTTAACCAATTTTATATCGATTTATAATGCTAACATATTAGACTTTAACAGCACTCAGCGCATTTACCCATTTAACAGTGCATGTCACGCTGTAAGTTGCCTATAGAAAAAGTCACCCCATGTCTGTTAGCAGCAGTCGCTGTATAAGCGTCACTGCTGTTAACGTAAAATCGTTATAATTCCCAAGTGCACGTTCGGCTGGTGCTGCGTATAAATACGAGTTGCAAAGTGGCGTATGTTGGAAGTGTCTTCTGTGATTGTTCTCTGTGCATTGATCGATATATAGATGCCCATCTGTTTATCAGATCTGCTCAGTGCCGACCCTCCGTCACACTTTGTTTCCCAGTAATTCTGCCTGGCGTTGATGTGGCAACACGTTCGATTGGCTTTCCGCTGCCTTTGCTAACGACGACGGGTCGATTAGCAAGAGACGCACGGTCATGCATCAGCACCACCCACCGCCCAACCTCCGCCCCTCTCACGCGTATTTCAACCGCTTCTGGTTGAGGATGCGTGTATAGGTAACGGGTTGGGCGGGGGGCCGCTAATGTTGAAGCCAACAACAGTTGCCCAAGTCAGCCATTTTCAAAATTTCTTGGTTAAGTAACTTTGTAGCTTAGCTTCGGATTTTCGTAATAAATTTGCTGTTCAGAACACTTCCATGTACGCGGCATTGCCGAGCAATTTGCCCATTCTTTTGCTGCAAATTTCTACTCAATCACACAAAATATATCAAATTGGGAACCGTTATATTTTATTTTGCTGAATTGACTCGCTTTTCACCGCTTCGTCGGCATGCAGCCGTAACGCAATGACTTGCGGGGCAGTAGAGTAAGCCATATCCAGAATAAGGCGCCATATGTGTAACATTGTACAGTTGACAAAAGCTCTGCGTATCGACGGTTTGGCACTGTAAGCGCTCGTGATTGGGGCGTGGAGACGACGATTGGCTTAATGGGAAGCTCGACATCGGGGCGCGGCCAGGGATCCGCCTGCTCTATGCTATTAATGTTCTTCAGATATTGCTTGAGCTCATTACGTTTCCTGAAATTAACAGTGTATAAAGTCTACGAACGTCGCATACAACAGGGCAACTTACGTCTGACTGTGTTTGAGTTTCTGTTCGAGTTGCTCAACTGTTGAGCGCATGCTGGCTAGTTCCTCACTCTTCTTATCCAACTGGAGGACAAACGACTCCTTCACATTCCTGTGCTCCTTTTCCATCTCGCTCACCTCTTTCAGAAGTCGCTCCTTCTCCTCCTTCAATTGCTGCACGTTGGATTCCTCCTCGGTCAGCTGTTTTTTTAAGTTGAGCTGCTCGTAAAGCGAATTTCGAAGATCTTCATTGCATTTGACCGCAATTTTCTTCAGCTCCGATTGCTAAGAAGCAAAATAGGCTTTTATGTGAAGGCCATCCATAATTTGGTCCAACTTACCTCCTGTTTGCAAGAGATTAGCTCTTTCTCCAGCTGATCCTTGTCGGCCTGCAGGTTGATTAAGGATGTGTTAAGCATCTCACAAGACTTTCGCGCCTGGTTCATGCTTATTGTGGATTTCTTCAGTTCCACCTGAAGCTCCCTGCAACGTTTCTGCTCGACGCGCATCAGTGTTTTGGATACATGTAGTTCATTTTTAGAGAAAATGGACTAAAGGGGGATTCTTATAAAGAGATGAATAGACGGATTCCTTATCATATACTCACGTTCTTTTGGAGACGTTCCACGGCCTGCTTTAATTTGCGGACATCGGCGCGGCGTTGGCGCCAGGCATGCAGCATGACCGAGGTGACGACTCTCATGCGAGCAAGCCTTATCATATCCTGGGTAGATTTCCACTCTGCCGACTGTTGCTCCATCATTAGGCTGCTGGTAGACGCCAAGCCCTGGTTGTTGACCGTGCTCCACGAGTTGTTCACGTTAGTTGCGATCGAGTGTTTACTGTAGGGGAATTTGGGGGACTTATCCTCTGAACAAATATCTACGATGTCCATGGTGTCTATACCAAGTGTGTTTTAAGGAGCTTAAAACACGACAATAAAATGGTTATAACTGCAATTTTAAAAGGGGTAGAAGCCAAACCCTATAAAATAAACAAATTCATTAAAAACAGGAAAAAATATACAAGAAAAAAGTAAAATTGAAATGAGGAATTTTTATGTCTACACAAAATTTTGTAGTTGCTATATGTTGAGAAGTTTTATTCATTGTGCACTGCGAAACAATACGAGAAAGTATCTCGCACATCGATTCAATCGTTTATGTCATTTAATTGCTTTGCAGTATTTCACAAGAATTCGCTTGGGTGGGAAAGACTTTCTGGCAGGTTAACTGACAAATTGCACGCACACTTCCGCAGGTGGCTTCAAGAACCGATAGCAGGTGAAAGTTCAGTATGTTAGTTATGCATAATCGACTAGAGAATGCTCTCTTAAAGGTTAATGAAAGAATAAAGAAAATAAGTTATAGTAATTGCTATATCTATTCGACCTTATATATACTTTTGTCTGCTCTACATAAAAGTCAGACTCAAACATTAATTTATAATTTTCAAATTGAATGAATTTTATTTAATTTTATCTATTTCGTCTGTAAGAAATTTAGCACCACAATCATAGCTCATATTAAATAAATCATAAAAGAAATAAATACAATAAACTTGACCTCAAACTAAGCTGAATTTAATTAAAGTCAGTCGAGCGTAATTAAACCTCACCTATACACCTATCGCATTTGCAATCTGTGAGCGGCACCAGAACTTTTACAAGGTCCTTCACCGCAATTTCACCTTCGCATTGAACGCGCTTACTTTGTATAGTTGGTTACCCTAGTCGGGCTAGCTCAAGGACACTCAAGGCACAGGAAGTTCAAAGAGCTTAAATAGCAAAAACAACAAATAAATCAATATGTCGTGTATATAAGGTACAACAGCGTCTGTTAACATGGCCAGCACGTGTCGGCTTTATGAACAGCCCACCCCACGGTCCTTAAAAGCACCATGCACCCACTGGCAGTCCCCATTCGGAAATTTAGTCATACCCATTCGTGAAAAACCTGTTCGGTCCAGGCAGGCACTGGACAAGTATCACGCGATTTCAGCTGAAAACCTTTTCCAATTGGCTGTCGACTGTTGGTTATTGGACCAGCCCACGGCGGTGGGGTATGTTTGATCGATGTCTGGCCCAGGGAGCTATGGGAGCTAGCAGCTATTAGCCAGGACAACAGTTGTTGCGTTTAGGCAATCCAAATCATGCTATCAAATCGTTTTCTTTGAATTCGTATACCCTGAACACATTGAGTATGGCTACAGAGAGTATATTGTTTTTATTAAGAGTATATTGACTACTCGATCGCCTTTCTCTATATGTGTAGTTGGTTAATGAGATTGATAAGCTGTTTATTGTCTTAAATTGACAGTTAACTAAATAAGTTACAGTATGTATCTCAATATTCCCACATCTTCTAAAAAACTAGGTTGATTGCTACAGACGAGAATTGAGAGTACTTGCTAGTCAGGCAGCCCTCAATAGAACTCTTTCAGTTGTTTGTATATATGTTTTTTGTTGGGATATGTCGTTTGACATAATTTCTATTTATTTTGATTTGAGCTCACGGGGAAATTTCGATACTTCAGGTACGATTGTTGCATGCCAGCTGTTGAGTTTTATGACTTATAAACATATACATATGTATGTACGCATATATATATACATATATGCATACAAGCTAAATCAAGTATATCAAGAAATTTTGGGAATTGCCAGCATAAAGACGAGATAGTGATGGGCGAACTTGAAAGGCCATTAGATCGAGCAAAATCCTGTATAATAAAACACTTCCGAGCTCTGATTAAATATAAATTCAAGATTCTTCTTCTTCACTATAGGCATCTTTTAATCTCGCTGCATGAATCAGCATTGGGAAGTTTTCACAATTGATGAATTCCGTGGAATTTCGTTATCCTGAATGTCAAAGTTCGAGCGCGAAAGCGAAAGTCGAGCTACGCATGCTGCATGCCACATGCCGCATGTCGCATGTGAGTCATGTGCTTTGGGGACTATAGCTATGTTCATATGTATGTATGTATTTGCCATAACGAATAACAAATGCCGGCGCATGATGATATCCTTTTCCAGGAATTGTAGCTTGAATCAGTCGACAGACAAACAAGCGGCTCAGGCCACCTATGCCACCCAACCATCCGGCCAGCCAGCCAGACCGTATGGCCACAACAAAACATTTTCATTCATAAAAGCGTGAAAAAGCTTTTCCTCGTGTGTGAGTCACCAGCGGCATGAACACTGTAAGAAATTTCCAGTAGCCAATTTTGCAATCAGCATGACTCAGCGCTCAACTCAAGGCAGCGCAGCGTAGCTCAAGTCGCACTAAGTTTGTGACGTTGTCTTTACACTATTTCTCTCTCTCTTTCTCACTCACTCTGCTTTTGCACTTGCTGCATCAGTTTGTTTTGCTGTCTTTAGCTCAACTGTTTACAATCTTTGTTTTTGTGCCTATCACATCAAGCGATCAGGCACTGAAGGCAGGTCCACTCAGCTGGCAGCTGAGCTAAAGTCTGTCACGTTTTGCTTTTCGCTCTCTCAAACGCGCTCTCTCTCTCTCTTCCTCTCTCGCTCTCTTGAGCTGCTCTTGCAGTTTGTTTTTAACAGCTATTGCTGCGTCACTGCTTTCTGTCTTGAGCCGCCCTCTTCGCGATGTTTGTTTTTGCTGTGCCCTATCAAGCGAAAAGCTCTTGGCTTGGCGGCACTTTTTTAATGGCGTCTGCGTGACTTGTTTTGCTGCTCTTCTGGGCTTTCGGTTTAGTCTTCAATTCGCTGGCGACGTGATCGGTCGATCGAACACTCGTTGCTGTTGTCGTCGTCGTCGTCGTCGTCATCGTCGTCGTATATTTGTGCTTTTACAACTCTGCTTAACGCATCTTGCACAACAGCGCGCGCGCGCAAATGCTTAAAGCTCTCTCTTGTGACTCTCTCTCTCTATCTCTCTGTGTGTGCCTGCTGCGTACTTGCGGCACAGGCAAGTCAAGAAAACCTGTGAATGCCAAGTGTAGACAAATTGTAGATAAAAATAAAGTAAAATAAAATGAAAACGTAAAGAAGGTGCATACAAATTGATCAAAGTTTCACTAGCAACCATTTTTTTTGGTAACAGCAAGGGTTTTTGCATAACAGCAAAGCCAATAGCAGCACAGCTACCAAAATAATTAATAATAATTATGAAAACGAAAACAACAACAAATCAATCTTCTGCATCGGGGCTCAAATACACGTACGCCCGATAATGTGGCCAAGAATTGAATGTTTCGCTTTTCGCCGCGATTAGATTACGCCACTCAAAAAATTTGTTGTCAAATGCCGCTCGCCAAAAGTTTGTAGAAAAGCTTGTTAGACAATAACAGCGCACATATTTTGCATATGCGAGTGTGTGTGTGTGTGTGTGTGTGTGTATGTGAGTGTGCGTGCGTTTGTGTCTGTTGTACATCGAATTCAAATTAAGTCCGCCGCCGCGGTCACAAAAACAAAAACATTGTTGATGATCGCATAAGTATAAAGCCCGGAATTCCCAAAAAGAAAACAACGTCATTACAAAAGCCCGCGCTCTCCCGCTCTCTCTCTCTCCGTCTCTCTCTCTCTCGCTCTCTCGCTCTCTCTCTGTTTCTGTATGTCATCTCTTTATCTATCTCCCATTGGCTCGAGCTCTTTCTATCACTCCACCTCTCAAGCTCTCGCTTTCGACGACAGTTCACCGCAAACTTCGATGATTTCTTAGCGTTTCAATTTTGTGACTTTATGCTTCTTACTTTTTAGATACTTGTTCAAAAATTGAAAGAGAGACTATATGCATTATAGTATATTAGTAATAATTTTAACAATGCCTCCTCCAACATATTAGTTCTCTAATAAACTCAAATGAATTTTAACCGTGAGCGAGTATCATGCAGTCGGTTGTACATTTCTTTTCAAGCTGTTGCTGTTTTTCTGTTATATCTCTCACACTTTTAATTTCTTCTCGCTTCATTATCGCATAGTTCTTCATTTGCCTCGTCTGTCGCTTTGACTGGACTCGCAGTTTTTCGCGCAACTAAAATAAATGAAATTTTAATAAACTGAGAAAAGTTTTTTTGTTCTGTATATTAAAAGTTATTGAAATAGCAAACCGGTTTCTGTAACGTGTACTTCATTGTGTAGAATATCATTAGCAGTACATGGAATAATCTGTCGACTATAAATAAGTTCGCATTACTTGTTTATTCAGTGCCCATTTACATAACAACATTATTCCTTCGAGTTCTATCGAGCGTGGAGCTGCCTTAACCGTGTTCTATTCCAGATATGAAAGTGTGAAATCCATCTGTAAAAGCTATAGAAAACCAAAAGATCATCACTCGATGCATTTTAAGTTGTCATCAAACAAACATTGACAAAGGTGAGTAGCTCAAATGTGTGTGATACAAGGGGCACCTACAGATTCAGAAGAAATTATTGTTCTATTTAGCTGGTCATAGTTTTTGAATTATATATATGGTATAACTAATAGATTCAATTAACATTTCTATATTATTAAAATATTTATTATTATTTTTCATCGATTATATTTTACTGGAAGCTTGATATCAAGGCTGAATGGCTTAAGATACCCCCAAAAACTTAAATAGAAATTGATTATCGGCATTTAGTTTGCTATAAATTACAATCTAATCAAAGAATTGCAAATCGATCGCCGAATACAAATTGACTCGTTACCATACTACTGTTATACTACTATATAAACACAAAATTATATATATGTATATGCATGTGTGCATATACACATACCTACACAAATATTGAAATTCTTCAGTCGGAAATGCCTGCTATGCGATATGCAAAACTCAAATGACAAACAAAACTTCAAATATGCAAACATCACACATACATACATACATACAGATCAGTGTATATATTGTATATATTATGGATAATTCTGATATCAGTAGTAGAATATTACTCATCTGCTGCAAGTCGATTAGGGCTATCAAATATAAACATATAGTATATTTCTGCTGGTAGCACCAATTCGCTCGCAGTGTATTTACAACCCCCTTGTAAAAGCTTTCACAAGCGCGCGCTTTCGCTCCCTCTCTCTCACTCTGTCTCTCTCTCACTCTACTTCGCCTGCTATATCTTATGCTTTGGTGTATGGATTATACAAACGATAAATTAAAACAGAAACAGAAAAACTAAAACACCTGTGTACATGGCGGTGCAGTCGCTATCGCTGCCTCTGCCTCTGCCGCAGTCGACGTCGCCTAAAAGTTTTCTGTGTTTGTGCGTGTGTGTCTGTGTTTGTTGGGGGTGTGAGGAAAGCTTCGGCGTTTCGTATTCGAAGGCACTTGCATTTGTTTGGGGCGTTAAAAACGGCACGAGAATTTCCAATTGGATTTCATTTGAAGATCGACTCGTAGGCTCGACGGTTGTGCTTGCACGGAATAAGCTAACGGGCATACTAGAAACAGTGTATTTTATTATATCGGTCTCGATGTGGAAGCGAGTGTAAGCAGAATCGGGGCGCGTTTAAACTTGTCAAGCATGCTCAAAGTTCCATTGAATAAAACTTAACAAAGTTTCCCAACAAAATAAAACATATAATAAATGTAAATCATGTCTTAGCTTGTAACTGGCTAGCACTACAGGTAATTACAGGTGTTGTGATGCTTTTGGCTAATTCAACGTAATTTTATATTGCACAAATGGCATGCAAAACCGGCTGCTGACTCAGTACTTAGTGTTAATTGTGCTTCTGTGTATATGTGCATGTGTGTGTAAGTAAGTGTGTTTAAGACAAATAACAAAAAACAACTGCAAATATAGCAAGTCATGAAGAGTATAGTTATCTCAGCTGTGCGATATACAAAGCTCAACTTGTGTAGCCAAAGCTAAGTCAATAAACGACATTTCGTGGAACTTTCGCGGGGGTTTGATTGATGAAGCGATATCTAGTATAGAGGAGCATTACTTTCAATCATTAATCATAGCAGTCAAATTGAAGTTACATTGCCCAAGGCTTTCTGATAGAGACAGCGTGACAGTTTATAAATATTATATAAGATAATATTTATATAGATGTTAAGCTATGAGCTATTAAGTAAAAAGTGAGAACAGTGCATGACAGGAATCATAAAATTGTAGGTTTTATTAAACAGGAATCAATGCTTCTATATAATAAACCTTAGGTCGGAACAGGCTCAATTCTGTAGTTTGCTTCATAAAATAAGAGATTTTGCAAAAAGAGTAGGAACTAGTTCAATTACAGCAATTCATTTCGATGACGGGTTTTTTTAAAGTAATTCTACAGTCGGAACTAGTTCCACAGATTTGTCAATGGCGGCATCGGCTGTTATTAATTGATTTGTATTTTTATTTGAGCTGTAAATTGCTTGACGCCAGCGACCATTAAATATGGTTGCTGTTGTTGTTGTCTTTTTCCTTAGTTTTAGCGAGAGTCTCGGCGTCTTTTTGGCGAGCATATGTGGACTCGGAACTAGTTAGAACTTGTTTTGGGACCAGGTTGCGGAATCCAGCTAGAGCTGCTACTTTGATGTTGATCTTAATCTTAATTTGTAGAGCCTGGCGCCAAAAGTTTTTTGTTTCTATTTTACTGGAAACATCATAAAACTAGAATATTTTAATCTATTGAAGAGACTCGATTCCATTGGCCGAACAGTCACAGCTGCCTGATTGGCGCCAGTTGGTTAATTCTTGCCTACCTCCCGTCTTCTCCCGCTCCGCCTCTCTCTCTCTCTCCCTCTTTCTCTTTTTCATTTCTTTAGATTTTGTTCGAGTGAGAGGGTTCCATCATTAATCAATTTTATGGTTTCAAACTTTGTTTTTATGTCATGAATCAATTGAAAATTAATGAAGTGGGTATCATGTGTATCGTGAGTTAAAATGCAGAAACTAGAAGGTATGCCCACCCATATACTCTTGCTATTGATTGGGAACTGCCAAGTCGAAATATAAGAGCTGAAGCTTGCAATTTATATGTGAATTGGAACTATTGTATACCAAATGTGCTGTGTTAATTCATCAAATATGCTGGTGATACTCCCAAGGTGTACGCACTGAGGTATATAACAGCTGCTATGCCTATAGTATAGCTCATGGGCACTGCCCAGCACTGTGGATAGCTCAGGGTATTTCCCAGTCAGGCAAAGCAGTTTTACTTGTTTTTGTGAATCAATTCTGCTTAGTTTCTACCTTTACATCGCTGCTGGAAACTCTCGACGTGTGTTTTTTGTGTATCATCGATTATTTTATTTGAATACTATGTCGTTCCGTATCCAGCTATCTGATACGCATTTTTTTCGGCCCATATCTGAGAGCCGGCAATTCGGTAGCTTATCTGCAGCGTTTCGTGCGTCGGATCCGTTCCGTTTTACGATGCAGATATGTATTTAGTGCAGGTGCTATAAACAGTGCTCTAACAAATAAATTGCCATATAATCACATGTGCCAGACTCTGGAAAGAATATTAAATACCGAATATAATACCCATAAAATAATAATAAATTGAATAAAATAAAAAGCGAGACCTGTATCATTTCATTAGATGGGAGTCTTCATTTAAGTGGATAGATGGCCTGGGCCTTATTCTAAGCTCAACTGTTGCAGAACTGTTTGTTTGACTCTATTAAAAAGCGTGTACAGAATTTTTGGCCTTGGATGATTCTATATCTAATCTAGTGGCTCTGCCTCTTAAGTGTGAGAGATATGCGTGAGCAATGAAACCTGTAATTCGATTTTTATATAAATCCATTAAAATTTGGGCATTCGTGAAATGCATTTGTGTAATAAAATAAACAAGGAAAATGTGTAATTATAGAATAATTAAACTTACCCATCGACTCGGCGCTTTCGTTTACTGACCTTGCGTTCCAGATAAATATGTATGCATTTCTCAAGAATCACCTCCATTAAATGTCATCACACGGATCACAAAAAGACACGCGTTTTCTGAATGATTATCTGCCTAGTGGGCCACACGAGCAAATTCCTAGCATATTTGCTTGTTTGAAAATTCACAAATTCAAATATTATAGATTGGCATACATACATAATATATCGAAACGTGATGATTATCTTAGCTATGTGAGTCAGAGATTTCTTGGAAATTCTCTGTGCTCTGTCAAAACGAAAACATTTCGTACAAGTCGTATTGAGCTTATAATTATCACATATCTTATATTGCACATGTTTTTGGCTAACGAAAAACTCATCTAATTATTATCATAAATAATAGATTGGTAAAAAGATTTTCAAACTGTCTCTTGGTGCTTGATAGAACTGTTGACAAGTGTCTTGCTCAGTGGCCGCTGAACGGAAATACCAATAAATGCTATTGGGCATCTGGCCCATTATATATCTATATACGTATGTATATGTGCATGTATATATGTATATGTAACTACCTGAATAATCTGTTTATTGTAAGGGTCGAGTAAAATATTCATTCTGTTTTCACATTTATAGGCTTTGATATGTGTATATATCTTATATATATTAACTTTTGATAATTCTTGGGAACATTATAATACAATCATACATACATATATGTATGTATGTATACGTAATTTAGTTTTAGTCTAGGCTTTAAAGGCATTATCCAATAACTTAGATACTATTTGTATGTAAACTATTAATTTATGTACCTGTTCTCTATATATGTATTCCGCAAATAAGTTATTACTTGCTACTGATTGCTATAGTCATATACATTATTATAAAAGAAAGCACATCTTCGGATAAGCAGCAAAAGGACATGGAATCTCGGTATGTGCTCTCCTATCCAGGGTATCTTCTAGTCTAGCGTTGGCGTGTTTGCAATTTTCTGAATGAATTTTCTCTTGGCTTCTCTCAATATGAGTCAGCTTTAATGGAATTCAAATACACATAAACATCAGATACATATTTTTATATACAAAAATATGTATTTACTTACTCTAATACATATTCTTAATTTAATCAGTTGCTAAAGACATTGCTTTCTAGGTTCGCATGCGTGGAAATCATTTTGTGTTGCATTTTTCCTATTTTGCTATTGAATGCTTATCAATTGTAACGAGGAACAGCTGAAATATCAGTTATATTTGCTAATTCTATATGTCTTTGAGTACAGCGCGTTAACTATTAACTGTTAACTGTAAAGTATATTTTCTAATGATTTGTTGACACAAGTGTTCGAGAGTTTATTGACATCGTCAACAGTCCATTCACAAGCTGTTCCCCTACCCTGGCTAATCTAAAACAATATGTATTTATAAACTAGGGAAGACATATGTACATGTCTTTTTGTTTTTTCAACAAGAAAATTGGGAGCATTGCTTGGGAAAACTTTACATGCCAGCCAGAACTATGAATTCCTCACAATCCATCAAATAGCAAGTGGTGATTGAGGATATAACCGACTTATATGATACACGCCACTGAATTGATTACAAAATATTGATAAATATATAAATTGAGAAGCTCTAAGTCCCAGCTAGATGAGGATACACTTGAGTTAATATCTCATTGCTTTCGGACATTTCCCATAACCAATATACACGTTTCTCCTTTTTGAGCAAGTATAAAATACAGCAAGTATAAAATATGCTACATAAAGTAGGCGTACATTTCGTGCTAAAAGGCTAACAACTTAAAAGACAAAATTGAAAAACTGAAAAACAGAAATAGCGGAAAAGCAGAAAAAGCTTCGACGACAACCCGAAATGATGAATTTTTAGGAAGGAGCAAAACGAAAATGTTCGAATAAAAATTCGCTCGCATTATTCGTTTAGTTTCGCTGTTCAGTCTACGGCCGATATCCAAGAACTCAAGACGTGCGTTTCAAAGAGAAAACCAAATTCAAATTTGAATATACTCATATATATATATATACATATATAAGAAAACCGTGCTAGCATCTATACATTATACTATATATATTTCGCTTATTTTTCTGGACCGGTTGGATCCGGTTGAGACTGCAAAGCGAAAATCAACTCGAGTGTGGCCTCTAGCATAAATAATTGTAAATAATTTTGCGCAAAATTTGCTCAAAAGAAAAATTTGAAAGATTTTTTTATTCAATCGATCGATTGATCGCTGGAAAAGTTTTGAAATTGGAAAGGAATATTTGAATCAACCACAGTGACAGGTGATTAAAGAGATATACTCTTCGAAATTCGGATTGAATTTTTCATAATTTTGTGAAAAATATTACAAAGATTGGCTTTTGGCCAAATTATCATGTTCCACATTTGTCTAACGTACAAAATCATGACGTAATATATGTAATAAAGTGAATGCAGAATATACCATAAAATATTATATTATATATATATATATATGCAACTGTGTCTATATATCAATAATATATGTATACGTATGCTCTGTAGAAGCCTTAATGAGAATCACATTTGCCATGATATGCGAATTGACTTTGCGTTTGTTTTTGGTTTTTCGTTTGCTTTTCTTTTAAATATGCCGCGATTTCAGTATTTCTGTTTTATTTAAATCGACTGTGCGAAATTCGTTTTCCAAAAGTTTATTTTGATTCACATATGCTAGCTGCTTTCAAAAAATGTGTCAAATCTGTTTAAATGCTCCTTCAAACAGTGAAAACGGGCGTTTCGGTTTTGGACAATAATACTTGAGTCATAAATATTGATTGAATATCATTGATTATATCATTTGCAACTCTTTATGCGAGCCCTCTCTCATATGATACAAATTTTACATTAAGGATATAAATATAGGATCAAAGAATCAAAGCTGTCATTTTTATCTAAATAAATAAATGATGTAAAGTGCCTGTCGGCTCTTGGATAATGGAAAAAAATGAAATATTTGTTGGAGTGTAGCGAATTCAACTGAAAATCTACTAAGCTTTCCTTTAGATGTTCACAAATTACTCTGCAAAAGACATCCCTTGAAAATTGATAGCAGAAGCGTATTTATGAGTTTTTAAATTTATTCTTAGTCTCCGCAGAGCAAAAATGTCAAAAAATTATGATATGTAAGAGATATATTAAAGAGTCATTAATAATCTCTAATTTTATATATGCAGAAAGGCCAATCTTGACAGAAAAAAAACCTACAAAATTATGTTTATTTACTTAATTAAATTAAAATAAATAATATTAAAATAATTAAAATTAATTAACTAAAAGATTACAAAATTGGCAAAACTTTGACTTGGATTTATTTGGATTTCTTTTGTATCTTCAAAAACTACCCCATGCCATGCCGTGCCGACCAATTGACGTATTCTTTAATGGCAGACCAATGTCTAGACGTTCTGTGAATCGAATCTCTGAGGTCATAGAGCTACTCACTATACACGACTGTCTGCATACATATACTATAAACGTCTATAGCATATATAAACGGTATATTTTTATATAAGCGACAATGGGTGATCTTTAGCCGAGCGTTTGATAAAACGACACTTTTATGTTTTGGAATCAAACAAAATCTTTGGGGAGGCCACTTAACGACTCACTCTTTACATATGTATGCAAATGTGTGTATGTGTATGTGTGTAAATGTATCTTCATCTATACTACCTGCTGGGCACTTGCTCTACTACAGTATATAGATCGGGCAGGCGCTCTGTGTGGAGCTGCTTGTCGCACACGCATTACGCAAAATGTTATTTATAAATGGATGTCCGATGCTAACTTGGCTATGGCTGTGGCCAGGCCCAGGCCAGCACCAGCACCAGCACCAGCACCAGCACCAGCACCAGCAGCAGCCCCAGCCGGTTCTACACACACTAATACACAGGCACACACAAATGCATACACACGCGTGCGGTCAACTGCAGTGGAACAAAATGATCTAACGAGTCTCGTAGATAATCAAATGCGAGCCATCATATTGCAATGTACCCAAACGCCCACGTTTCATGTTATCTTGATGACTCTTTGCTGCTGTCTGAAGGCGAATTTTGTCGAAGAATCTTACACATTTCTTACACATGGTCTGTCTGCTTACCTCTAGCCATGAAAATGTATTTCGAGGAGACTTGTCGAATAGATGGATAAATCAAAGAGTTAAGGTCGATTCCATTTCCCTTTAGCAGCCAATATACTCGTCTTGCACCTCGTTTATAAATATTTATTTATTTCGCGGAAATTGACCAAGAGAAAAGGGAAAATCGTACGGGCAACTATTTTTGGGATGCGTCGTCATTGTCGTCTTTGGCTCAATCGAGGCGTCATCGCGTTTGCCAAGAATTCTGCGTGCTGGCTCGAGGAATCTAAGACCTTTTTCGCTTGCTTCTTTTTGCAGTTAATATTTTGGCCTTGAAATGTTTCCAAATCAAAACAATTTGGGTGCTGCGGGTGCAGCAGGCGATGCCCAGCAGCAGAGCCTAAACTACAATGGCCTACAGCAGCAGCAGCAGCAGCAACAGCAACAGCAGCAGCAGCAACAGCAACAGACTCAGCAATTGTCACAGTCCACGAAGAACGTGAGAAAGAAACCGTATGTGAAGATAACGGAACAGCCCGCCGGCAAAGCGCTGCGTTTTCGCTATGAGTGCGAGGGTCGCTCGGCCGGTTCCATTCCCGGCGTGAATTCGACGCCCGAGAACAAGACCTATCCAACCATCGAGATTGTCGGCTACAAGGGACGCGCTGTCGTTGTTGTGTCCTGCGTCACCAAGGATACGCCATATCGGTAAAAATTAGTTATGAAAATCTCTTTCCGTTTCTCTCTTAATCTCTCACTCCCTCTCTTATTCTCTCTCTGTATGCACAGTCCACATCCACACAATCTGGTAGGAAAGGAGGGCTGTAAGAAGGGCGTCTGCACCCTGGAGATCAGCAGCGAGACAATGCGAGCCGTGTTCAGCAATTTGGGCATTCAGTGTGTCAAGAAGAAGGACATTGAGGCGGCACTGAAGGCGCGCGAGGAGATTCGCGTGGATCCATTCAAGAGTAGGCCAAGCTAGAGAAACTAAATCGAGCATGTAGTTAATTCATGTTTATTCCCCAGCTGGATTCTCGCATCGTTTTCAACCCTCGAGCATCGATCTGAACTCGGTGCGCCTGTGCTTTCAAGTATTCATGGAGAGCGAGCAGAAGGGCCGCTTCACATCGCCTCTGCCGCCCGTCGTCTCCGAGCCGATCTTCGACAAGAAGGCCATGTCCGACCTGGTTATATGCCGGCTGTGCAGCTGCTCGGCCAGCGTGCTGGGCAACACGCAAATCATTTTGCTGTGCGAGAAGGTGGCCAAAGAGGACATCACGGTGCGCTTCTTCGAGGAGAAGAACGGGCAGACGGTGTGGGAGGCCCTGGGTGATTTCCAGCACACGGACGTGCACAAGCAGACTGCCATTACGTTTAAGACGCCGCGATACCATACGCTTGACATAACGGAGCCCGCCAAGGTGAGTGCAGGACTCGATTCCCGTTTCCTCAAGCTAATGGGATTTCCTATTGCTCGACAGGTTTTCATACAGCTGCGTCGACCGTCGGACGGCGTTACCAGCGAGGCTCTGCCCTTTGAATACGTGCCATTGGATTCAGGTAGGCATACGTTCTGGAATCTTCATCGGCATCTCAAGCGGAAGCCCGATGAAGACATCTTTCAGCAAATCCTCGCGGTCGATCGTTGCTCGGCCAAGCGCGAAACCCCGGCGATTGAGGTAGTTGATCTCAACACGCCCACCCTGGAGCAGGCCGAGCCTCAGCTGATGCAGGCGGCCGCGACGCAGGCGGGTGCGGAGGCACAGCCGGAGACGCAGGTGGCCGAGGATGAAACAGACCAGGCACCATTAGATATGGAAGCAGCCGATGCTGAAGCAGAGGCGGAGCGACTGCGAACTGAATTGGAAATAGATACGATCATTGATGAGAAGGTGCGTGAATTGGAGCAGCTGGAGTTGGAGCAGCAGCGGCAGCAACAGCAGCAGCAGTTGGAGCAGCAGCAGCAACAGCAACAGCAGTTGGAGCAGGAGCTGGCAGTGCCAGAGCCACATCAGCTGACGGCCGCTGATAAGTGTAACGAGTGGATGAAGTCGAATGAGCTGCTGCAACAGCCCCACGAGCCAAGTCCAGATCCAGCGGAAGCCGAGGTCGAGGCCGATGACAGCGATGCCACCGCCGAGACTCAGGTGGCCGCCACGGACGAGGACAAGACGCTCAACGAGCTGCTCGAGCAGGTGGCCGAGTTGGACGAGATCTACACGGACTTCGTCATGCAGCGGGACACGTACAACAACACGCTGCAGAACGAGATGGAGAGCATGGGCAGGCCGCCCATGCAGGTGGAGGACAGCTTCGATGATGCGGCCACCTACACGAGCCTGCAGATCGCATTCAAGAATCCAGTCAGTATACCCATGGACGACATCATGCCTCCGACGCCGCCCATGTCCCAGTGTGCGCCAGAAGATGCGCAGCACTACGATGCTGTTGAGGTGAACTCGCAGCAGCAGCAACAGCAGCAACAGAAGCAGCAGCAGCAGCAGCAACAACATCAAGAGTTGCTCAAAGAGTACGAAATGGAGAAACGGGCACAGGAACAGCTCGAGCGGGAGGCAGCTCTTATGCTGGCGGCTGTTGAGCAGGAGAAGCTGCCACCGTTGCCGCCCAAGCGCTTGCGCAAGCAGGACAGCAATGCTGAGAATCGCTCGATCGAGGCGAACAGCGACCCAGCTTCAAAGGAGAAGCCACGCCTGCCGCCGCCCGTCATTCACCCACGCGTCGCCGATCTGCCCGCGGCGCCCACAAAGAAGTTGCCGCAGCCGCCGGAGTCGAAGCCCAAGCCCAAGCCGAAGCCCGCAAAGAATCCAAATTTCAATACGCTGCCCAGGCAGAAGAAGCCCGGCTTCTTCTCCAAGCTGTTCGCGCGGCGCAAGAGCAAGTCGGAGCTGACAGACTCTGCTGCTCTGAACGAGAACTGCTCCAAACTCGGCTCGAAGCCCGCCAGTGCCTCGGCCAGCAGCGCACCCAGCCTGGACAATCTCAATGCGCGAACGACCAAGGGCAAGGGAACCAATGTGGTGCTGAGTCCACTCAAGTCAGGGGGCACAGGCGCCACGACCACGACCTCGCCCCGGAAGTCCGGCAAGTCCGGCAAGCCCTGCGGTCGCAGTGTAAGCAGCGTCTCAGGCAAGCGACCCGCCTACCTGAACGCGGATGTGGTGCATATTCCTCTCAAGGGCGACAGCTCCAGCAGTCTGCAGCCAGCGGCCAACGAGGCCTACTCGAATGCCAGCACAATCACAGTGGGCGGCCAGTTGGACAGACGCACTGCGTCCGCGCTGCAGCTGGCCGAGATTCCCATCAGCGAGGGCGGCATGGAGCTGGTCGCCATTGCCGACCGCCAGAGCTTGCACAATCTGGTCAGCTCGATCGAGGCGCACTTCAACGTCAAAATGGACCCCAACCTCGACCTTACGGAGGTCGAGCACTTTGCCCTCTACACGAGCGTGCCGCCCCAGGCGACGGCCAGTGAGTTCGACGAGACCTCCGCCTACTATGCGTCCGTGGATGCTGGCGAGATTCTGACGCCAGACCAGGTGGCCAAGCGGCTGGCGGCAGCAAACGGCAATTGAATATTGTTAACTCATTTACGAACAACATCAGCTTGTCTAGTTGATTAGGACTAAGACTAGGGATGCCAAGTCGAGCCCTAAAATCGACTCAAATCGAATCGAATCTCGTCGACCAGCTCAATTTGTGTGATTGGATAGGCAAAGGCTTTCTTTGTCTTCCCAATCGTCGATTGGATATTGTAACATGTATTTTTTTAGCCCTACGAACAAACTTCGCATCGACTAAATCAGTTTGTATTGAGGTATTCCACAGCGAATTCCAAACCCAAAGAATCATCGACTAAAACAATTTGTATGCTTAGCTAAGAAAAGGACCCGAGGTCCTTAAGGCATTTTACACTTGGCAACGGGCGCTATACGAACCACAAAACACAAATTGGTGGCGCTCAAAATTTGTAATTGTATTTGTTTTAGAATTGTTGACACGCAATGTGTGCATACCCTGTCTAGCCTGTAGTCTGATCGGGTATGCCGATTTTGTAAGCGTTTGTCAGCGAACACTCGATTTGTGCAGCAGCTCGAACCTTTCGCTGCTCAACTTTGTCTTGAAGGGGCGCTGACGCGCATCGCTCCCCAAATTTGTATTTAGTAGCTCTAAGGGTTCTTTGAACCGAGTCAAGACTTGTCCAAACATGTTGGCAATTAAACGAATTGCTATACTCTCTTTTTTGTAGATCCAGCACACTTGAGGCGGAAACGTCAAAAGACTGGCGGCGATCCCATGCACCTGTTGCTCCAGCAGCAGCAGAAGCAGCAGCATCACAATGATCATCAAGATCGTAAGTTTTCCCATTTTTCACTTCACTTGGTGGTTGGCGGGTGGTGGTGGTTGGTGTTTAGTCTTTCGTCCTCTATCTCTATCTCTGTCCTTTCTCTGTCCTCTTTCTCTGTTGTGCGTGGATCTATCAACTGCTCAGGCAGCATTGGTTTGAAGATAGACAACTTATCCTACCTAGAATATTTCGTATGCCAAAGCCTTGGCACGCTCTATGATGTATTAATCGTATAGACTATTAGAGAATATATTATTAATATTAAACCAGGCAACATAATCGAAAACCAAACAATGCACAAATACTAAACAAAACTATGCGGCAATTAAATACAAATTATACCTAAATAAATACGTAGCGTAAATATATATGTAGTCATAAATAAATATTGTTGTTGGAATTTTATGAAAAAGAAAAGTACTTATGAAGTATGAAATATTATAATTATTATTATTATGGCTTTGCTAATTGGCAGAAAATACGAAAAATACAACCAAAAATTTGATATTTTTATACAAAGAAACTTTTTGAAAATACAAATATTATTGCAAAACACTTTTATAAAATATTTAGATAAATAAAAACGAAAAAATGAGAAATAAAACTTTATAGTTTTAATGAGATTTTGAAAAGAAGCTTAAGCAAACGAAGTAAGTTTTTACAAAGCTAAATCTTGCACGATTACAGTACATTTTGTTTCATTCTTTTCCCATAACTTTTTTTTATATATAAAATAATTTTTTTTTTTTTTTTTTCGAAATTAAGGTAAAAACAAATGTTTTTTTTTTTTTTTTGCTTTTCCGTTACTTGGATTTTTTATATTTTTCTAATTTTTTTTTTTATTTAATATTTTATACGTAGTTTTGGTAACTATATTTTTGCATGAGCTAAAATTTGAGATTTTGTTGCGTTTATATATGTATTTATTATATTTTTAATATAATTCAGTTTTGATTAGTATATACAAATTAAAAGAATTCTTTTTATATTTTTGCAAAAATTTTATTTTAATTTTTTTCTTTGCCTTTCTATTATGTTATTGCTAAATTATTTTCCTTTATTTATAAATGTTTTGCTCGCTGTTTTTTTAATGTTTATTATTGCTGCTTTGCTAACAACTTCTTGCACTGCTTCTAGGTCAAAACAACATGAACTGTTGGAATGCGCAGAATATACCGCCTATCAAAACTGAACCAAGAGGTGAGAAATATTTATATTTATAAACTCCCACATATATCAATACATACTTTTGATATGTTTAGATACCTCACCACAGCCGTTTGGCTTGTATCGTGCTCCGCCGGAGTTGACGCCCTCTCCGCAGCCATTGTCCCCGTCAAGCAATTACAATCAGAACAGCACTCCGTCGCCATACAACATGGCAGCTGCAGCAGCGGCGCCCAGCAATGCACAACAGCAGCAGCAGCAGCAACAGATGATGTCGCCGAACCAACACCAGCAGCAGCAACAGCAGCAGCAGCAATATGTTGCTGGCGGCGCTGGCAACCTGGAGCTGGGCAACAACTACAATCCCTTTACGCAACAACTGTTGGCCCAACATCAGCAGCACCAGCAACAGCAGCACCAGCAACAACATCAACAACAACAGCAACAACAGCAACAGCAGCTGCAGTACAACACCAATCCGAATCCCTTTGTAACCGCTGGCAGTGCAACGCATTGGGAGACCAAATTCTCAGCTGCTGCCGTTGCTGCTGCTGCCGCTGTGAACGCAGCGCCAGCTGTTGCCAACAGCAACAACAACAACAACCTCAGTAATCTCAACAATCCATTCACAATGCACAACTTGCTGACGTCGGGCGCGGGCGCTGCTGGCAATCTGCAATGGAACCTGACCACGAATCACTTGGTAAGAGGACAAACTGAGCTTCAACTTGAACTCTAACCCTAATGCTCCCGTTGAATGCTTGCAGCAAAATCAACATACACTGCAGCAACATCAACAGCAGCAGCAACAGCAGCAACAATTGCAGCAGCAGCAGCAGCATATAACACCAATGCATCAGCAGTACGGCAACACCAACAGCAACAACGATAATAGCAACAACACAAACAACAACAACAACAATGATAACGGCCCCACGATCAGTAACCTGCTGAGCTTCGACAGCGAGCAGCTGGTACGAATCAATTCGGAGGACCAGCAAATGCTGCGCCTCAATTCAGAAGATCTGCAAATATCAAACCTATCCATATCTACGTAATATTACTAATCTAATCTATAAACTCTGTTGTTATAAGCCCCAATTCCTGTGTGCTTCATGCAAACTGTAAAATGTGTGTTTTTAGTATAATTCCTTTGAAAATACGAATAAATTAAACGTTTTAGAAGTAATCCAATTTCAAGAGTATATTGCACTTGTTGGGCTGCCATAAGCCATTAGGCCTCTATTTCGACTCGAGTGTACCCCTGTCAGTTTATCCGCCTATCCACTCATCCGACCGACCTCAAACTAGAATATTACATTAATTTGAGCTTTCCCTATAGGCAGGCCCCCTTATAAGCCGTTTCTTATAAATAAAATAAATTTGTTATGTAATTTACTTGAATTCCGTTCCAAAATGGAAAATAAACCAATTTTAAGCAATGAGAACATGAAATAACTGAACATAAAATTATCAATCAAAATCAAACGGGAATAACTACTAAAATTTCAACTAAGTGATTCAGAGTATATAGGGACAAATCTACTTTTGGTTTGCATTGAGCTTGTGTGACCCATTCGAGCCGCCCGGGAAGAGGCCGCGCAGCTTCTTGACAGCACCCGGAATGGAAGCCATGGGCAGAGCAGGGGGTGGCGTGCCGGGCAGCATGCAGTAGGCGACGAGGTGCATCAGCCGAAAGGTGGCCTGCTGGTAGGCCTGGCTCTGGGCGAAGCACTGGCGAATGCGGTGACCCACTGTGGCGGCGAGGCAGTTCTGCAGGGTCTGAATTTGCTCCTCCTTCTCCTTGATATCTTTCTCGAGCTCATCAGTGTGCTTCATCAATTTGCTAGAAATTGTGAATTATAGAAGGGGAAAGCGATTGCAGTTCAAAGTGCACAGCTCACCTGATATGCAGCTCTGTTTTGCACTTGTACTCGACGAGGCTCGAGTTGGACAGCCTCAGCTGCTCCGCAACGAGGGCAATGTCATCGCGCAGCTTCTCCACATACTCCTGCTTCTGGGTCAGCTCGAGTCGCAGCGATTGCAGCTGGCTGGTCAGCTCCTCGATGTCGAACTTGGCTCCCTGGCACTCGATCTGAACGCGCGCTAGCTGCTCCAGCTGCTCCCGCTGCAGTGTGTTGGCCTGGAAGAGCTCCTTCTTGGTCGCCTGCAGCATCTCTTGCAGGTTTTCGATCTCCTGCGCCTTGAAGGCGTTGTCCTTGGCCATCTGCTGCTTCTCCTCGTTGGTCTGGCTGAGCAGCAAGGTCAGTTCGTTGTAGGACAACTTTGTCTTAGCGCTCTCCATGTAGGATTGCTTCAGCTGGTCGTTCAGCGTCTCGTTGCGGCGCTTCTCCACAGCGAACAGCGTGTTGTACACGTGCAGCTGGTTGCGGCTCTTGACAAACTGTAAGAAAGGAAGTAGGCCACGTTAGGCACGGGCGCTCTCATTATTCCTTATCAAAGGCTTTAGCCGATCTTACATTGCGCTTGAAGTCCTCGACCTGCTCGGTCAGGTGCCGCACTTCCTGCCGCCTGCGCCGCCAGGAGCGCAGCATGATGGTGTTGAAGATGCGCAGGCTGGCGACGCGCAAGTCCTGGTCCCCGTTGATCACGAAGCGAGTGCTGCCTAGCTGCGAGGTGCCCTGCAGCAGCAGTTGGGTCAGGTGCTCGTTCTTGATAGTAAGCTGACCCGTCTGCTGCTGCTGGTCAGGTTGAGCCGGCACAAGAGCGTTCGAGCTGGGCACATGGGCCACCAGTTGATAGTTTCCGGTGCGCCGGGCCTCCTTGAAGTCCATCTGGGACACGGACTTGCGTGCTCGATAGTTCAGCATGGCCGCCGTCTGTTGTCGCTTCAGCGTCAGATATGGAGGCAGTGCTTCCGTCTTGGACTGCGGCTTTGTCGTCGGCTCGATATTCTCCTCCCTCAGTCTCTCCGGCTTGGGCTGCACCTTGTAGACAGGCACGCCAGATGTGGACACACTGGCGCTCAGCGAGTTGTCCGACGACGAAGGCGTCAGCATGATAGCCCTCGGCAACTTCAGCAGCTGCACATTTTCCTTGTTGTCCGCGCTGCAAAGTAGAGAAAAATCCTAATATTTCTCTATGCTCACAGAGCCAATGTACCCGGCTAGACACTAGAGACACTAGAGTCTATTTACTCACCCCAGCAGCTTACTGTTGACCTGGGCGCGTCGTTTCTTTATTTGGGCCCCAAGGAGCGCCTTGTTGTATGGAAGTCTGGGCGAGCCCTTCACGGAGCGGGGTGAATCCTCGCCCTGCTTGGAGAGCAGTACGTTTCGGCGTATGCGTGGACTCTTGGCAAACATGATCTCACTTTCAAAATGTCAAGAAAATGGTTTTTGTTTTTCTTCACAGCTGAATATATTATTTATCAAAAATAAAACGCAAAATTAAATCAATATAGTTGCTGAATGTTTTTGTTTTTTTGTAGCTGCGTTCAGTTTGTTGAGGAATATAATACTAAAATCATAAGGGGCTGTAATCTTTCTCTAAAATGTGAACAGGTCAAGGCCTACTATTTATTTATTATTTATTTATTTATTATTTATTTATTATTCATTTATTTCATTTATAATTTTTATTTCCTGAGCTCACTAAGAGTGATGGTTTCGATTAGCGTATGAACAGGCAGAAGGAATGTGGCAGAGTATATAATCTAAATCAGGGCGAAGATCTGAGCCTATAAAGCCCTGTCCGCCTGCATTTCCTTTAAGTAATTCCTCCAAGTATTGGCACTTAGTATTTTCTCTCAGTATTTCCTCGAAGCTTAATGCTTAGCTGAATGATCACACCACTTCACTTCACTTCACTGGGGCCTGGGCGACTGAAGAAATGCTGCAGCCGCAGCCCTTTATATAGGGCAACTTACACTCGAAGCCTAGGTCGCTCTCAACTGCTTAGGAGTCGTCGCAACCGAGCTTTAAGTGATCAGTGGGAGCCCTCTCTGCTGCTGCTTGCACTCTAACTTCGTTTGACTTCAATAAAATAAATTTATATGATTATCTCTAGTTCTTCTGCAGTCCTGGCTCTTCGTGGGCAGACAGACAGTGAGCGAGAGAGAGGTGGAGAGACAGATTGTGAGATAGTGAGACAGGGAACAAATACGCATAGTTAAATCTGATTGCCTCATTACGCTGCTTAATAATATATGCTCAAGAATATATGTATGTATATGCTTGGCTAGGCTAAATGAATAGCTTTGTGCATTAATATTAATAATAATTATATCGCATGGTCCGGCTCAATTTCTAGCTATTCCATTCTATGCTCACTTTTATTTATTATTTATTTATTTATTTATTATTTATTTATATCATTTATAATTTTTATTTCCTGAGCTCACTGAGAGTGATGGTTTTAATTAGCATATGAACAGGCAGAAGGAATGTGGCAGAGTATATATTCTAAATCAGGGCGAAGATCTGAGCCTATAAAGCCCTGTCCGCCTGCATTTCCTTTAAGTAATTCCTCCAAGTATTGGCACTTAGTATTTTCTCTCAGTATTTCCTCGAAGCTTAATGCTTAGCTGAATGATCACACCACTTCACTTCACTTCACTGGGGCCTGGGCGACTGAAGAAATGCTGCAGCCGCAGCCCTTTATATAGGGCAACTTACACTCGAAGCCTAGGTCGCTCTCAACTGCTTAGGAGTCGTCGCAACCGAGCTTTATGTGATCAGTGGGAGCTCTCTCTGCTGCTGCTTGCACTCTAACTTCGTTTGACTTCAATAAAACAAATTTATATGATTATCTCTAGTTCTTCTGCAGTCCTGGCCCTTCGTGGGCAGACAGACAGTGAGCGAGAGAGAGGTGGGGAGACAGATTGTGAGATAGTGAGACAGGGAACAAATACGCATAGTTAAATCTGATTGCCTCATTACGCTGCTTAATAATATATGCTCAAGAATATATGTATGTATATGCTTGGCTAGGCTAAATGAATAGCTTTGTGCATTAATATTAATAATAATTATATCGCATGGTCCGGCTCAATTTCTAGCTATTCCATT